AACTTATGAACTCTGGTAATATTTTGACTTATATTGATTGATAAGAGCGTTTATAGAACATTTTTAGATATTGTTTTAAGATATTTGAGTAAATCGGGTATTAACGTCAGCCGTTGTTGTTTTGGCTTACCTAAAAATAATGACAAAATAGATATCATAAAAATTATTATAAATATCATTACTTACAGTTATTGTGCATAATAATGCTTGCGTATTATTATTGGGCGAGCTGCGCGCCGCTCATCTCTTCTTCGGCTTCTGCCTTAGGATCGTCCCCATTCACAGTTCAGCGCCGCCCACCTCTTCTTTAGCGCCTACGCCCTCATTACTGCGGCTCAGGTGGTGGTTAATAGGTGGGCGCACAGGTGAATGAGGGCGCCGCCCGCCTCTTCTTCGGCGCCTAGGCGTGGGGTCTCCCTCACTTTTATTTCGACGCGAGTCAGCGTCAGCGGGGTAGTTGTCGCCACTCATTTCTGATTTTTCCTGAAATAATTCCTATTAAAATAAAACTAAATTTTATTTATTTATTTATTTATTTTATTTATTCCAATTATACTAGAAACTCAACTAAACAAATAACAGTCGAGTTGAATTGGCTCTTAATGCAAAACTAATATTAATTAACAATAAAATTGAGTATAAGCATAATAAAACAAATAAGAAGAAAAAAAAAAGAAAAAGGAAAAAAAGCATGTACACTATCAGCATAGGAGCACACTTACAACCGGTACAGGACCAAATTGCAAATGAACCCCTAAGCTATCGCAAACATGCATAAGCCTTTCGAAACGTAACGACTTTTTAAGGATAAAAGCTAGTTTAAATACGACATGGGTAAATCGCGCGTATTAAGCAATGTTGCTTTAATGGACTTTAAAGAGTCCGATAACGAGAATAAGTGGTAGACGTCATTTAGGTTCTTGCAAACGACTCTGAGCGGATTGAACAGCTCATAATTAAATTTACACTGAAAATCCTCAATTTCTTGAAAATTGTTGGCACTAGCGATCGGCACTTTTAAATCTCTCTTTACCACGCTTCATGTCGCTGTTTAGTAACGATTGTCAATTAAGGAGAAAACATATTGCATGTCGAACATATTTTAAAATTTATAAAGATATTCAGATGCCCAATTGAGTGTATTTCATTTTAATTTTCATGCCCTAGTGGCTTTTTAAGTTTTCATATCCTAGAGTACTTGCGGTGTAAGATTATATAAATATATTAAGTTTACGCAGATCTTTACTACACCCAGAAGTAGTTAGACACACCTTTTATTGTAGCGATCTAAGTTTGCATGTCCGTCGGTCCGTCTTGTTTCCAAGACGCAATTTTGAGATATTTTAATGAATTTGATACACTGACGTGTTTTGCATCCTTTTTATTGTAAACAGATTGATGGATGAGTGCCGACTCAATAAGAATATCCTCACATAAATCCCGTTTTTATAGATCATAAGAGATCCAACTTTTATCAAACAGGATCACTTTACAGCGTTAAATAGTATTTAGTTATCCAATTTCCAAGTTTTTCTTTCAATTGAAAAGTAATTTCTTCATAAAATGTATATGGACCACATCTACGCGACAAATCCAACTATGAAATTGTTTATCTTTTATTATATACTTTTGTTCCTTTATATTTATTTATTTATTTATTCCACTTATACAAGAAACTCACCTAAAACTAAAAAACTTATATTAAATTAATAATAAAACTTAGTAAAAGTACAGTAAAACAAATTAGACGGAAAAAAAGAAAAAAAAAGAAAAGCATGTACACAACCAGCATAGAGCCACACTTACAACCTGTACAAGACCAAATTGCAAATGAACCCCTAAGCCATCGCAAACATGCATAAGCCTTGAACCGATAATACTTAACAACAATTCATTTTCGAATCATAACGACTTTTAAGGATAAAAGCTACTTAAAGTACAACATAGGTAAATCGCGCGTATTAAGCAATGTTGCTTTAATGGACGTCAAACAGTCCGATAACGAGAATAAGTGATAGACGTCATTTAGGTTCTTGCAATGAACTATGAGCGGGTTAAACAGCTCATAATTATGTTTACACTGACTAAGCTTAACCAAGATAAAGTGCCTAGGGAATCGGTTAGGGACATTAAAGCTTATTTCACCAAGTAATAAAGGCGCGTCAATAGCACCATTTATTACTTTGATTACAAAGAAAGCGGCAAGAACAAACCTACGTTTCTCAAGAGACAGTAAGGACAGCAGAAGCAATCTATTTTCATAGGGACGAAAAGAGGCAATCGGATCCCAACCCAAATTTCTAAGGGCATACAACAAGAATTGCTTTTGAACAGATTCAATTGAATCTGCACAGCACCTATATGAAGGAGACCACACAACCGAGGCGTACTCGGGTATAAGTCTAACCAAACACATGTACAGCCTTTTCGAAATATAGGGATCATCAAGCACCTTGGATCACCTTTTTATAAAACCAAGCGCGAACCTAGCTTTGCTTATTGAGAGCTCAATATACAAGTTAAAACGTAACCTATGGTCAAGTAGAACGCCTAAATCTGTGATCGAATCAACGTCACGACGAATCTAAGAAATACTGAGTAATGAATGACTTTCTTCTTGTAAAAGAAAGCTTCTTATATTTACTCAGATTTAGTTTCAGAAGATTCAAAGAGCACCAAGCAACAAAATTATCCAAGTCACCTTGAAGCTGATGTGATTGTGATTCAACAGAGACGGAAGAAAACAGCTTCACATCACCAGCATACATTAAGATCTTACTGCAATTACCGATGGGAGATCATTAATGTATAAATTAAATAAAATGGAACATAAATGGCTGCCTTGAGGTACGCCAGACGTCACGGGTAATTCATCCGAGGTGATGAAGTTAAACAGAACCCTGAACGATCTATTGTGCAGATAAGAGCTTATCCATTTCACTAAGTAGGGTGGGAAACCAGAGGCTTGGAGTTTAAAGATAAGTAGTCTATGGTTAACCATATCAAATGCTTTGCTTAAATCAGTGTAAATAACATCTGTGCGAGAGCCGCTAGAAAAAGCCTTGAAAACATGACAGGTAAACTCTAACAAGTTGGTGACTGTAGATCGCCCTTTCCGAAAGCCGTGCTGGTGCGGAGAAATATACGAATTAATGGCAAAGGCCAAATGCTGAGTCGCAATACGCTCGAACAACTTGGGCAAGACACCCATCTTGGCTATGCCTCTGTAGTTCTCAACAAATTGTCTACTTCCACTCTTGTGGATAGGAATAAGGAAACTACTCTTCCAACATGAAGGGAAAATACCTAAATACAAGGACATGTTAAAAATCTTTGAGATCACACCACATAACTCGACAGCGCAAGATTTAAGTACACATGATGGAATTCCATCAGGTCCAGGCGAACAACTGTATTTTAGAGAACTCAACCCTTTAAAAACATCATCTTCAGCAATAACCAAATTAGGAATTGAAACCAAGTTAGTTGTAGGGTTTGCGGATAAATCGAAATTAGCAGTCGAAAAGTTTCGACGGAAGAACTCAGCGAACAGATTTGAGATATCAAAATCATCCGAGGAATCAGACCCTTTAAAAGAAACATGCGAATGATGTGTGGAAATTTTTCTTTTTGAGTTAACAAATTTAAAAAAGCATTTAGGATTAGCGAATAGAGGGGATTGAATGAACTGAAGGTATCTGCAATAATAATGGTGGTTGAGGGAGTTAAATCTGTGCCTTGCCACGGAGTAAGCGAAATAGTCAAGAGCAGAGCCACTGTTCGAATATTTTTTGAATAGCGTGCTTTTTCTGTTCTTGTAATATGTATTTGTCCTATTAAACCACGGGGGACGCCTGCTTGGAGCTCGGCACTGGTTGATCGGAACAGATGCAGCAATAGCTAGATTTACTGTATTGTAGAAAGATGACAATAAGCTTTCAATACTTCCAGTTGAGAAATCAAGCTTTATAAGTGAAATGTGATTTTTTAGCAATACAATATTGATTTTATGAAAATCGTAATATTTATTCACAGAAGTTACAAATGCGGGTTCTACCTTGGGTAGGCAGAACTTCCGGTCAGAAATTCGTATTGTTACGGAAATCCCAAATCCTGTTCATTCCAGCTAAGTAATAAACTCCCTACAGCGGGAGAAACTAAATGCACATTCGCAGCGCGTCATGCAGCTGCCGACCGAGGAAAACGAATACGAGAAAAGTAGGTTAACGAATTCAAAATGAAACTATAAAATTAGGTATGATAATATGATTGTAATAATGTATATAAACAGAATATTTGTGGAAGGCACAATTAGTCGGACAAGGGCATTTGAGTCGAAAGTACTGCGAAAATAAATTGTGAATAGTCCTACAGTTAAGAAATATAGTTGTAAATAACAGAACTTTTAAGTGTATTTCTCTTGGTCAAAGTATGCACGATCCAGTGATACGGACTGTGTCTTACAAATTCATAGCAATATGTTCTTATGTGGCGATCCAGGAACATTGAAATCGCAAATGTTGCAATATGTGTACAATTTGGTGCCACGATCACTGTATATTTCTGGGTCCGGAAATATTACAGCTTTTGTTAGATCGTGACTCACATCTGAATGGTTTCTTTGTTGATAATCGGGAAGTTTTTGTTTTCTAAAAGGAAAAAAACTATTTGTTCATGATGATGACGAACTCCGTTAAAATGGCAGACACGAACATTTCACCTGGTTCGAGTATGGGCTTTTCTTGCTTTACAAAAAAAGGAGTCAAGAGGGCACTAACTAGGTAATTATTTATGAAAATGGTATTGTTATTGTTTTTCTTTTGCGAAATTTTTATTTTATAACTTCTCGTCTCCTTACGACGAGCTTACCATAAACCCGGCAGGCTTCGACGTTAGTCTTTTGAATACGTATCGTAAGAAACTCATTGGCATCGTAAAAAAGCAGTGCGTAGGAATAATGTAAGCAAGTTTAAGTGTAGAGCTAATATCTTATTTATTTTATGGCACCATACTTTAGCTCTACGCCGAAATCGTATTACAGCGATTCCTTATTTTTCCTGTCGTACGGTCTGCATCGCATCCCGGATTAGAGAATAGAACGGGCTGTTTTATTGGGCTGTGATATAGCCTTCAAGGCAGATGTACGTCTCCTTTTTGCTGAATTTGAACGTCTCTCCAAAGAAATTCTTTTCGGCTTAGCGCCGGAGCTAACTCCAGTCTGTCGTCATATTTTATATCGGTATAGAGCAAATTTTCCCAACACGGACTTCGGTAGCCCTTTCTACATGTCACCAAATGAACTATATAACTTACTTTCTGCTAAGACCCATACCTATAAAATGCGAAAATCTGAAAAACATCTGCGACGTGGTTATCCGGGTCCCAATTCCGGAGTTGTGCTGCTACACCTCACTGCTATACGTCACGGCCGGCTTTTTCAAGACAAACTGCAAGAAACTGCCTTACGTAAATTGACATCGAAGTATATGTTTAAAGGTCACTGGGGCGATCAAGACTTTTTCACTTTATTGGGCTACGAATTTCCGAATCTGATTTATTGTCTGGATTGCGTATGGAATCGTCAATTGTGTACATGGATAGATCATGGCTATAGTGATGGCTTTGATAAATATTTCACTTGCAAAGGACGTATGAAAACGTATCATGGCAATTGTAATGCTCGCGTACCCGTGTAATAAATTCAATAAGTCCGAGGAATGCGGATGATGGCAGATTAACGGACGTTCAATTATATGCATCTGATATGTTAGTTAACTAGTTAGTTATGTAAAATTTGCTTACCAAAATAACAAATTTCAACTAAAATTTTCTCCTTAACATCTTAGTTAGTGCCCTATATTCCCCTCCTCATAAGTATTTATTTCTCTTAATGATCGTGATATCCTTTCAAACGCCAGGGAAAGGAGAAAAAAGCCGCATATATATATATACGCATATATGTATACAATTATAAATATAACAGAAAATTGTAAAATTGTAAGATTAAAAGTGACTTGAATGAAACATTCCATTTATTTAACAATGACTACAACAGCTTTTTGCGATTGTTGAAACTACGGTATACTAAACTACAGTATATGATAATATAAGTTCATAGATCCAAGTGATAAAAAGTCAATTAGTTGAGCAGGTGTTTATACCTCAAGACGTACGAAGTCATAGCTTTAGTAAGTTTTTTGAAAGATTTTTGAACGAAAGCTTTGCCATTCATATCGATGAGCCGGTTAAGGAAAGAGAGGTTCAAAAGAGAGAGTTTCAAAAATATAGTTTGTTTCATTGAAGTGCTGGTGAAATCGAAACTATTTATATGTCTAATAACAAAGCGGAATCCACATCTAACGTCGCAACAGTTAAGGATTTTCCAAGGTCTTAGAGGAGACCTGGCCTACGGTGATGTATCATTCAATCATCAATTTAATCATCAATTTAATCCAGTGGGACAGAGTAAAGTTATGTTCAATAAGACTTGCGTTGCTTACATATCTATCAAATGCAGACCAGTCTCTATCGTTCAGGATCTTTCGATTACGATTTTATGCAATGCTGGAAAACTGAGGAATATATCGTACGATACCATTCAGGTACTCATTTAATGAAACGGAAGAAGAGATAGATTAAACAAGCATTCCCTTTTTTTTTTTTTGCGGACGATAGGCGGCAACAGAACAGAGAAAAAAAGACGCTGAAATTTGATAATTGTTCAATGAAAGAAATTTACACAAATTATTTTATTTATAGTTTAATAAAGCAAAATATTTCTTATTTTAATTTTAGTGGTAGTCGGAAATTTCCAGTTAATATTAACTGTAGACTCATTTAAAACAAATGTCTCATTTAAAACAAATGCAAGAAATTTTCTTGCGAAACCCTTAACGTTTGACGGATATTGTTCTAAACTGCCAGTATAAAAATTCCATTCTATTTGCAGTTTCTTTGGGTATCTGCTTCTGAGGGTAGACATTCTTCATCAACTAATGCTACCGACAGCATATAGGAATCAAATACTGGTTTATCCAAAAACAAACCGCAAATTAATTTTCAAGTGGGAACCAGCAAGCCATTTGTACGAAAGCATCTTATATCTTTAAAGAAAGCCGATTTTTGATGGTATGTCTTTAACAGCTTGTCAATAGCTTGTAAGCCTTTTTCTGTACCTCTGCTACATGCAATGGTATGCATATGTGGGACTTTTGTCATCTGTAGCGCCATACGTTTGCCTTTTATCTCTTTGATGCGTCTTGTGGGCATAGGCAATTGAAACGTGTTATTAGGGGGAGAGGAAATAGAGGAATGACTGTATCATTTTAGGTGAGCCGAATAACTGAATCTGTTGGAGGCCTTGGTACGAGAACAAAAGTGAGAAGGAGAAAACGAGGCACCTGACCTTTTGCATTCTCACAATTTAACAGCTTACTTCGCAATCCTTCCATTTTTTAAGTCATGTCATCAGACATATAAGCGTTTACAATCAAATTATGGACTTCCTTTACACTTTTTCACTCTCGCACTTATGAATTCTTTCATATGACACTTTATACTCATGTACCGCATTATGTCTCACACAACGGAATTTAGTCTTCGCTGCTCTGTTCATTCCTATTTGGCGGACATGTAATATGCATATTTTAATAGAAACTTAAAAAATAAAATAACCTGGCGGACAACAACAATTTAAAAAAAAAAATTATATACCAAATCTAACCTCAATATTTCAAAGTCTCAAACAAAGAACTCTGTGTCCCCTTTGGATCGTTTTTACACATTCCGCGAATGTGTTGACAATTTTCGCATCTTGAAACACATAATAAAACCGAATCTTCTGCGTTTAAACGATGTAAATGCACTTTCGGTAAAATGGTTTTTAGAGGGAATTTATGCATACGATTATTTTTCCCCTCCAAATTCAACCATTTTTGCGCCGTCTCAATGACATGGGAATGCGGTATCAATTGTTCTTTTAATTCTGTATACAAGGCGCTCGCACCGCTCTGTTGGCAAGTTCTGGGTTCCTCAATGCTAAGTCGCTCTACACTCTCGGCACGGACTTTTAAAATTGACGACCAGTAAATGTTCATACGGCGGATTTCCGCTGAATCAGCTTTCAGTAACGATGTTGGTTTTTTGAATATGGCAGTCGAAGGTCTCGAACGTCTGGCCATTTTCAACGTTTTTTAAATTTCAGATTGTTCGAAAATATCAGTTGATGTTTTGCTTTCATGCAGTGCAGATGTATGCTTACTAGTGTTAGCGAAAAATTAACTAAATAAGTGCGGAAAGTGCTCTAAAACAGTGAAATTAATTGTTAATTGATTAATTTGTTTGAAAACATTGAAGATTGATACATATTAATGTGTTAAACAATTGTAAAAAGCATATAAAAGCTTTTTAAAAAGTGATTTATCATATCATTTGTTTGTGTGCATGTTTGCAAACATATGTGCATAAAATCTTTAAGTGACGCTTAAGTGCACTAGACAAAAGAAAACACTTTGTTTCATTTCCGTTTGCTGTGTGCTGTAAGAGACAAGCCATTTCGTTTCGTTCCAATTTACTAAATTGGAACAGGTGAAATTGAAACTTGCTGTTACAAATTGGTGGCGGTCTTCGCTTGCTGGTTGCTGCAGTTGCTGGTTCCTGCACTAGGTGGCGCTGGTTGCGGCTGAAAAAATTGTCCAGGGTGAGTGTCTTTTACATATATATTTTATTATATATATTGATAAATAAATCACTTCGCCCTATATATTGTAAGAGTGCACTGAGAGGGGTATTTTGACTATACCGCACGACTAGTGCACCATGGGGAAGGGCAAGAAGAAGCCTGCCCCTAAAAGTGTTGGGGGGATGGCCGATGTAACGACGTCCTCCGATGAAGAATTAATGGTGGCGAAGGGTGGCCAGAAGGCTGGACCACTGAAAGGGGGTGGTGCAAAACGCAACCACAGTCCGTCCGATGTGTCGGACTGCGACACCACCGTTGAGGGATGTATGGGCCGTAGCGACTCCATGCCTACGGTTTCTCGATCGGTGAAGAGGCGCAGAGCGAAAACCGGCACTGTAGCTGCACCCGTTGCCTCTGCCTTTGCAGTGGCCGCGGCAGCTTCCGCGGCTAGCAGGCCAGTGCGTACGGGGGAGCGGAATGCCGCTGCAGGACCGGTGAGCCAGGTGAAGGCGATAACAAATCGCCTGCAGAAATGCGTCCTTTCGCCGGACAGCGTCTCTTTGGAGGCTGCCGCTGAGGTTTTGGGCCTTAGTGGCGAATACGAGGCGATCCTCTTCGGCCTAATAGCCGAAAATGCTCGCCTTCGCAGGCCGGATTGAGGAACTCGAAAAGGCCGGCGGATGTTTTAAATCCGCCACTTGTTTGGGTGGGGCACCCCCAACGACGTCGGTCCCATCCCCCGTTGTAGAGGCTGCACGGGCTGTTGCACCGCCAAAGCCGGTAGAAACCTGGTCCGCGGTTGTCAGTTGTAGAAATACTGCTGACACACCTAAGGAGGTGGTTAGAAAGGTGGTGGAGCAGGTGGGACCGACGTTGGGCGTTAGAGTCCACGGGATTAAGCCAATCCGCGCGGACTCCATAAATTAAAATTTGCTTTTTCTTCGAAATATTAACAGCAGGTCGGAGATACCTTTGGATCTTAAAAACAAAAATATATAAATAGATCAAGCAAGAGTTCGAAAGGTGCTAAGAACAATGCAAAGGATTCTCGTAAGACATGTATAGCTTTAAATGGTTTCGGTTTGTAAGTATCTGTATAGAATGTGAGCAAGTGTATAGAATCGTTAAGCTTGTGCACTCACCCATGTAAACAAGCCAAATGGTGGTGGGCTAAAAAAATCGCGGTTCGTAGGTAATATTTTTTCATATGGTTTTCTTTGTTAACTACATTTTGCTTTAAGGATTAGCAGGGTAATCTTTTCTGCCTTGGGTTTAAATTGGATCTTACAATTCGGGTTAGCTGGCATATCTTAACTTTCATAATTTCTCTACGCAACTTCAATGCGAGCTTGTTGATGATATGAAAAAAAAAATCTTAATAATGTAGGGTAGCCAGTAATTACCCAGACCTATTTATTTTCCATTTGTTTTTGTTTTGATGACGTTGATGATCAAGAGGCACTTAAATGTAATGAAAATTTCTTCAATGAGTTTACTCGATGCAATGTTATGAAATGCTTTTGGAATTTGTAGCAATAGTAACAATAATAATAATAATAATAATAACAACAGCAATATGGAAAACAATAGCCGTAATGCATACACAGAGAAACGACGACCAAAATAAGCGTGTGCACGTCCTGTGATAATCGCCATCCTGCCTGACAGGTAAACAATGCTGTGAATTTGATTAAAATCAACTATGTACGAAAACGTGTCTCCCTATTGTTACTACCCACCAAATACATGAGCTGAAATTGAATAAATAAAGGGACAAAGTTGAGACATAGTTGAAATTTAAAATGTTATAATATTTTTGCATTTAAATATGAAAGTTGCAGCGATTTATCTAAAAAGTATTGTGAAGGACATTTAAGGGTGTACGCACCACAGACGAATAAACTTCCTCCAATATGGAGGAGGTGGCCTTTTGAAATAAGACCACCGCTAGGATTGATAACAAATTTACGGTATAATTAGTTATGATGTACGACTTTGTTAGACTTGTTGTTCGGG